CGTTAGCACGTTACCTTCACAGGTGGTCAGGCGGAGTAAACAGGTGCACACTGGGAGGTCCAGCTCTACGTTTCACTTCACTCTTCACATATCCGCGTGGAGCCGAGTGTGAATCCCGGAGCTGAACGGCCTTTGTACAAACACGACGAGTGGAATCGCCTTTTTACACGCCAGAAACCGTTTAACTCGTTTCTCTTTTTGTGTTTTAACAAACATCTGGAACATCTGTTTTTAATAGGAATTCAAAAATGGTTTTTGTGATGGTTTCAATGTTTAATTCTTTTTTAAGCATTTATTAATGGATTAATAATTCTTTTTAAAAATATATTTAAAATAATGTTTTCATTTAAAATAAAAGTATTGAATAAGAAATTACTTTAGTGATGTTGGAATAAATAATGTAAAAAATCATGAATGAATTTACAAATGCAGAATTTATTGTACAATTCATTATTTAAGCACAGATTTCTTCATTTCGATACGTGCGGCTCTTGTGGGCCTCCACACTCCTACTCGTTGATCTCATCCTCCTCGTCCTCAAAGTTCTCCTCGCCGTCGTTGGCGGTGGCTTCCTGGTACTGCTGGTACTCGGACACCAGGTCGTTCATGTTGCTTTCCGCCTCCGTGAACTCCATCTCGTCCATGCCCTCGCCGGTGAACCAGTGCAGAAACGCCTTCCGGCGGAACATGGCCGAGAACTGCTCAGAGATCCGCTTGAACAGCTCCTGGATGGCGGTGCTGTTGCCGATGAAGGTGGCGGCCATCTTTAGCCCTCGGGGAGCGATGTCGCAGACGGCCACCTTCACGTTGTTGGGGATCCACTCCACGAAGTAGCTGCTGTTCTTGTTCTGGATATTCAGCATCTGCTCGTCCACCTCCTTCATGGACATGGGTCCCCGGAAGACGGTGGCCACGGTCAGATAGCGTCCGTGGCGAGGATCGCAAGCCGCCATCATGTTCCTGGCGTCAAACATCTGCTGGGTGAGCTCGGGAACAGTGAGCGCGCGATACTGCTGGCTGCCCCGCGCTGTCAGAGGAGC